AGCATCTGAACCGTCAGAGGAGCCGTTCCCAGCGGGCGCGCCGGCAGCCCGTCCGCAAGGTGGAGGACAAGGAGCTGGTCAACCTGTGCCTGGAGTTGCCCCGATTTCACCCTCCTGAATTTATTATGCTCGTTACTCTTCAATTTGGGGCAGAAGCTGGTGCTTCAGGGGGGTGCAGGCAGTAGCAGGAGGGGGCAGGAAGAATTCTGGGTCCGCAGTGGGGCACGCTGCCCTCCTTCAATGCAGACCCTGGCCAGACTACCAGAGACCCAGTCCAGAGCTCCGACCCGAATGGAGTCTCCCCCAGGACACCCGTGGGAAAGGCAGCGAGGCCTAGTGGACTGTGCGGCACTGGTAGTTAGGGGAATCACAACTCGCGGTAGAGGTAATCTCTGTTATTAGACCAACTAGATTTTTGCAAAAAAAAATAAATAAATAATTGCAAGCTTTTGGGCACAAGCACCCTTCTTCAGGCATTGGAGAAAAGCTTGTAAACAACTGTGATACCTGGTAGTGAGGGGGACACAGTTTGCTGTGTCAGCCTGCACCTTCTAGACTAACTAAAGTAGATCGATCTATATATCTACATATCTCTATCTACTTTCGTTAGTCAGGGTCCTCCCGCTCCCGCCTGGGGTGCCTGCCTTGCTCTACCCCACATCACTAACCCACCCCATGTTGCAGCACTGAGCATTGCAAAAGGGGCCGGTGCTGCTGGGTCCTTTCCCCCCAGCACGGGGCACGATGGAGCCACTCATGACCTTGGTAACATCACGGTCCCCAATTTGTCCAAAAACCCTAATGTCACCCAGGCAACCCATAACCCACCACCGTGACGTACACCCTGCCAGGGTCCCCAGGGCACACAGCCCCCAGGGAGTTAGTAACTTTCCCAAGCACCCTCCCCACAAGTGATCCTGCCCTGTCAGGTGCCCATAAATCCCAACCCTGCTCCCTGGCTCTCCAGAGCTGCGTGCAGCTGGCTCTAGTCCCTGGCACTGCGGGATGGGGGGAACTGCGTGCATCTCGCCAGCCAGCTCCCAGGACTTGCTTAATAGGGAGCCTGGGTGCCTTACATCTGCAAACAGCAGCACGGATTGGCTGCCCTCCCCAGGAGGCGAGATAATAAGGAAGGCAGCCAATGAGCTGTGGATGAGCTGGCACACTTGGATTTTTCTCCTGCAGACAGGTTTGAAAACCCTCAGACTTGGCCTGACCTCAAGGTGTGATGCAGCGTGGCCCCCATATACTGGTCTGTTACCTACTTGCCTCTTCTGGCCTCATTTCCAGTCTGCTTCCAACTCTTTCTGTCCTCTGCTCCTGCTCTGTGGGTTTCAGGAACACAGGTTGCTTCCCTTCTGATCCCCTTACTCTCCAGGAGCCACACTAATCTCCCCGTCCTTCCCAGATCTCTGTGGCTGTGAGCACACCCAGCTGTCCTGCCCACAAGTCGAGCCCACAACACTCAGCATGAGGGACTGTGAGTCCTGCACCATGCTCCCCTTAACCACGCTGAGCATGTATAATTGCAGGACTCCCTGCCCAAATACATGTGAACCGCAATTTAGCTGCACCTCTTGGGGAGGAAGCAATGCTCCCCAAGCACCTAAAGCCAGACCACACTAGGAGCAGCACAGACTGCGGGATGTGGGAGTGGATTTTCTTCTTCCTGGAAGGTAAGGAGATATGTTTTGGGGACACAGCCAGCAAGCCATGTGGCCTCTAGAGCAGGCTCAATCAGCCCCTGGACAGAATTGTGAGTAACTTACACGAAATGTAGCAGGGAACTTAGAATCAAGTGTTTTAGTCACCTTTCAAAAGGCTACCAAGACATTTCTGTTTGTTCTGGGATTTTCTTTCAATACTTCTCTGACTTGTACCTATCCTCGAGCCTGCCCACTCTACCCAATAAAGCTATCCGTTAGCCAGCCTGGTTGCACATGCTTGAGAGGGTTTGGGCATGCCTTCTTGCTCCCTTTGCTCAACTGACTAAGGGAGGCTACTTTCTATGCTTCAGGCTAACAGAAGCACTCCGAATTCCCAATATCTACAGGGCCGGGTGGCATAGAGCCCAGACAAAGACCTGACTCTGGGTGGTGGCAATGGTACCCCAGGCTTGCAGGTGTGCTCCAGGAAGGCAGTTGGTCAGAAGTTGGTGCCCCAGGGGAGGCGTCCAAAGCCTGTTTTTTGGTAGGGCGCAGTGAGGCAGGTGTCTCAGCACAGGAGTGCCCCCTACTGGCCCACCACAAGGCGGGACAACCACATCGATCAGTGTTTAGGAGCGGAGGACCGAGCTAGCTACCTGTCCAGAGCTGGTAAGGAAGAGTGAAGGGAAAGGGAGCTGTGAGCATTCTTTTTAGGTGCTGCCCTCCCTCCTTTAAGAAAGCAAAAAAACAGACATTAAAACATGCAAATATTCTGTAAGTAACCTGTTGACAAGACAAACTCGTGCAGAGCATGTCTGCACCTCCTGGCTAGCAATACATGCTTGATCATTACACACCACAGGAACGCCTCAAACACACAAATGTCCAAAGCTGTTTTATTAAGAAAAAACAGATGCAGTCCTGCTTAGCCCAACATTGACACACTCGCTGAGTAATGGCATATTTGCTGTTGGGGAGTCCTGAGACTACCACAACCAGAAAACCTCAAACCAAACCCACCCCCGGAAAAGCCCTCATGCTGGCTGGCAGAGATGGCTGCAGTGCTGTGATCCCACAAACATCAGGTGTGGTCAGGTGTGTGGTAATGGTTATTCGAAAGATGCATTTGCAAACTCAAAGCACCATGGTTTCCTTTTAAAATTGCATTTGGATTGAAAACAGCCGAGTGAAGCTTAAAGAAACCAATGGAAAAACCCAAAGAGGAATTTCAGACTCATTTCAAGACAGACCTGGGCATTTCCCCACTCTATCCTTCCTAGTTTGTGCTGAAGAGGTTACAACCAAAAACAGTGAAGTCCTGAACCACAATCCCTAGATGACAGAGAGGGATTTATTTAGGATAAGACATAATTATCTCTCTGCCACCACTCTTTTTTTCTATCCCCCCCCCAACATATTTCCCATTTCCATGCCACGCTTAAAACAACGCCGAGTGTTTTCATTTCCAGCTCGGAGTATTTCATTTTCTCAGCCGCTCTTTTGTATAAAAAGCTCTCTGCTTTCATCAGCATAATAATAATAATGAAAAAAAAAATTCAAGTTCTTTATGAGAATGTCCTTAAAAAGCCTAGGCATTTTGGAGAGATGCCAAAGTGCTTAGGAAGATGCACTTGCTCTCTGTTGTGAATCTAAAAGCTTTCAGTACAGCATCCTAACTCATTCAGTCCGTGCTTGGGTCTCTGCTTGCAGAAAATTGACGGAGGCTGCTGGGTGAAAGCTAAAAACGTCAAATACATTTTAAAACATCTTTATTTATTTTTCCCATGAAAATATCAAGATGGGGCTCCTCTGGTAACAGCATTAAAAAAAAAAGGCATCCAACAAACACACCCAAACCCAGACAGAGCCGCACAGAGAACACCCACCTTAGCTAACCTGGCATCTTTCGGACACATCTAACATGGCATCTCTGCTCCTAAAAACCTAAAAACACGAACTGTCAAGGGCACCAGCTGAATTTGAAGCAAAAACCTGAGTCTTAGAAGGAAGAAGCCTCTCGCACACATGCCCGCGCCTGGCTGTACAACTGGGAATGCCGAAATACAAAGGAAGAACGCGTACAATTCTTGCATGGCCTTCCTTTTACCAATCAACAATCAGCAAGCATGACAAATAATTGTTTGCAGCTGTCATTAGCTGAAAACAAGGCAAATCTGCATATGCTTAATCTTAATTAGGGAGACTTGGCAAGGAGCCCTTGCTCGTTGCTACCAAACAACCATTTCGCTCACAAAAGGGCGACAAAAGACCAGACACACACACACACACACACACACAAAATGTTGATGGAAAAAACGAACTGGCTGCAAATGACTAATCCTGCCCCAGCCCACCCCCCTCCCCACTGCCACAAAAATACGGGAGGTTATCGCCAGGGGAAGAGCCCATGCCAGCACAAATGCCCAAGTGTCGTCTGGAGCTCCCCTTCCTGCCTGCTCTCTGTCTCCCTGCTCCTTTGTGCTGCATCTCCCTGTCAGAGCCTGGCCCAGATGCAATGCGCAAGAGTGGAGTTGATATAAATTAAAGCAGAGGAATTTTGCCATCGAATGCATCGTTGCTAATTATTCAACTCTCGTTTACCTCCCAAATGAGCAGGCATTGATCGACTTCGCAGAGGCATTTCCATTCAAAGACGAAGAGAGGAAGTTTGGAGGAATAAAAAGGGAGTATGAAACTGAGGACAAACTGGGCTTGCATCAGCAGCCCTGGCACGGGTTGCGGTGCTGGATTATGACTTAGAATTTATGAGAGGACTCCGTACTGCAAGAGGGAAGGAAACCAGGTCACAGACTCCGCAGTCAATGCTCTGAACTACACCCTGCAAGATATATGCAGCCCGTTGTGACTGGCAGTGACGTCACCCGGCTCACAGTGGAAACCTGCACCACGCCAGGGCAGATTCTCCTCGACTATTTTTCCCCCCACTGAAAAAATAACAAAAACCAAAACCAGCCGCTCAAACCCAAACAAGCCCTCGGACGTCTCCAAGAACCCCGTTTTCCAAGCTGTGCCTCTCCGCTCCTCCAAAACTCTTCCATCGCCTCCTGCATCCAAGCACGCCCGGCGCGACCCAGTGAGACGTTATTTAGTTGTTATACGGGCTCTGAATAAAAGCTGTGATGGGTTTGGAAGACTGCCATTTCTCTACCCACTGCAGAGCTGGGACTGTCTACAACATACACACACCCCTCAGTTCAGACGGTGCCAATTCACACACTTCATATCAACGCGCCGGACAATTTATGAACGCACAAGGGGGGGAAAACACCCCCAAAGCAGCAGCATGAACACACATGCAAAAATCGAGTCCCACATCAGGGCAACATGCCTTACCTGCAAGCCTGTAGGCTGAAGAATGAATGCGAGCATCTGATAGCTACAGCCTTTTGCATCCTGGTACACACAACGTGCTCAAGGAAGGAGAAACTTGTCATGGCGGAAGGAAGCAAACAGTTGAGGCGGATTTAAAATGTCGGCGCGCAGTGCCAGGGAAAGAAAAAAAAAAGAAGTAGGGTTGGATTAGAAATGTGAAAATATTTGCCTTACCAAAACAATTTTCCTTCCATCTAAAAAAAATTTCCACGAGCAACTCGGCAGGAAAATCTACTTGAAATAAATACCAACAAAATCTGAACCCAAGTGGAGTTGCCACAGCCTGCAGAGAGCATTGGAAAGGTATTTTGTAGGTGCAGCCAAACAGAAATAACTAACATTTTTCAGAAACGGCAGAGAGCCACAAGGAAAGCTCTTTTGCCACTGGAACGGTGGGATTCAAAACCGTTAGAAATTCAGATTTTAACATTTGTTTTTTCTAAAATTTAGCTGATGAAAAGAAGTTGCCGAGATTGAATTCAAAGGCAAATAGTTTGGGGTTAGGTTGTGTTGTGCTAGAATAAAAATGATACCCAATGTGATTTAACCTCTGAGAAGGGACTGTCACCAAAGTACAGTAATAACGCGTGAGTAGTGCAGGAGTTTTGGTCAAATATTTAGCAGAAAGGGGCACTTAATTTTGGACAATAAGGCTGTTATTTTATGACCTTGCATAAAAATAACCAGGGGGCTTTTTAAAGTGAAAAATAACTGTTACCATTTGCAATGCTCACCATGATGGTTATCAATTTACAGCATATTTTATGTGGACGGGATTAAAAGAAGACTGAGATTATTGTAGCATTCCACTTTTAATTGAAATAGACTCTGAGACTATATATTTGGGAGGCCAAATGAAAGAAATTATATCCAAGCAAACTAAATGGCCCTGCTTCTTTCAAGGAAACACCAATGTGTCATCTTGACACAGAAATGCTCAGACTTTGTATTGAGATCTCTGCGGTAGGATACAGGGGCTTATTGCAGATCGGTAGCTAGACAGCCACGGACAAAAATGTAATGAACAGCTTTAGTTCGGCAAAAAAAGCTCATGCATGGGAATGTTTAAAGCAGAAACCTCCCAGTCGTTTTACATAACTGTAATTAATGTATTCAAATCAAACCCTATCAAAAACTTAGAAGTGACAGATAACAAGAAGCCCACGGATTCAGCTACCGTTCTTTCCTCTGTTTAGTATCTGCAGAAGGAGAAATGCATCTGCAGATATTTGAAACGTTCAATGCATTTCAGGAGACACAATGACTGCTTTATTTTTTATTCTGCCTCCACACGTGTAATAAATGTTTTAGATAGAAAGGACTGACACAGATAAATATGCATTTCAGAAGTAAGAGCATACTGTCTGGGTTGCAGCTACACAGCGCAGGCTGCAGATACAACCTACTGTAAATAGAGTGATAAGAAAGTGCTGTTATCTTCAGAAATTACTTTCCTATCAGATTATATTTACAAATAATTGGAGCACACTGATTGGGGTTTTTGGTCTGGACGACAGAAAGACGCAATAAATAAGGAGAGAGATTTACAATCAGGAGCCCTACCGAAGTTCCAGGCTAACACACATTAAATACATAGGACATAAATATCCTTATCCCTGTGAGACTAGCACAGTAATGGGGCTGTGGGGTTTTTTTTATTATTATTATTTGCTTGATTGTTTTTTATGGTAATCTAAGACAAGTTATCAATTTAGTTGCTGGGCAATTTAATTGAAAAATCTAAAAACACTATGCAACATTTTATCCGAGTCCATAAAATTTTTTAAAGTCTTGTCCACATCAGAGTGGAAATGTAAATTATAAGAAAACACAAAATTAATGATCTTCCCAACTGGAATTAAAAAAAAAGAGTGACCTCATATTATTTAAGGCATTTTCAGGGATGCATCCTGTGCAATTGGATAAATGCAGAATTCAGCCTGGCTGTATGATTCCTCATTTTCTTTCCAAAGAAGAATTACAAAGCAAGCAAGCAAACAAACAAAATCCCAAGAATTTCTCCCCCCTCCAGTATAATTATTGGCTGAAAATTGAGTGGAACAAGCAGCTTACAGAAAATACTTTGACAAATTATATTTTTTGGCCTATTTTCTTTTTGCAAATTCTTTGCAGGACAGCATGCAAGCTGTAAGTCCCTAAATGGCCTTGCCAGGCTGCTCTTGGAGATTACACGTACGGAGTTTCATGGAGAGCCGAAACATGAACACCGCCAGCCCGTTGCAACGGCTTGGGGAGGGCACAGAGCACTTTTCTTTCTGGACAAGTGCGAGCCGGCTGCACATACCTGGCTTTTGAGCTTGTCACTCATGGGCAGCAAGCGTCTGCCAGCAGGATTCACTCCACGGGGGCAGATTTCACTGGAAATAGAGTGAAAATGAGGCCGGACTTGTAGCTGCCATAAAAGCGCAATTCCCCTTCTGCTGGTGCCCAGGACAGTAGATGTGAGCAGGTCAGGGGGTGCTCAGCTCAAACGGTCTTTAAAACTCAGCACAGTTATTTTCCTGGCGGGCTTTCCTCGTGGGAATGTAATAACACAAAATAGGTAAACAAACACAAATGCAGAAAATAAAGGGTTAACTCACTGCCTAGGACCTTGTCCCGGGTCCTGAGAGCGAGACTCCGGCTCCGTGCTGCTCCCCTGGCACCACGGTCTTTCCTCTCTCTCCCTGGCTCGGTGCTGTCGCTTCCACCCCAGAGCCTTTTCCCAGACCCCGGGAGAGTACCCTGGCTCGGTTCTGCCTGGTACCGCTCCATCTTCTGTCTCGCTCTGGTCTCGATCTCTCCCTCTCTTCCCTGGGAGCCCTTTTAATTTCCCGTGTGCCCGCTAATTATCCTTCTCAGCTGGCCCATTCCTCCTAGGCAGCCTGCAATCCCCGACTGCTCCAAGCTGGGCCGTAGCTTTTGGTGCGAGCGGCCGGCTACATGAGGCTATGGCCCCGGAAAGCACATAGTTTGCCCACTACAAGGTAAAACCCTGAACTTCCTGGAGTCCCTTGTTGAGCATCACCCAGGGATGTCCGTGCAGCCACATCCATTTCCAGCATCAGGGGATCCCACCCAAATGGTGGAGAAAAGGACGAGGTGTGGAGCCAGCCACTCCTTGCGTCTAGATGGTATGAAAGAGCCCTGAACAGAAGAAGGGGGAAGGGAAGAAACCTCTGCAAGGAACCAGATGGGCCAAACTGTCCTTTTCCACCCTTATAGCCTCGGCCTTCTGCAGCAATTGAGCCCCAAGTCTTGCTCTCGAGCAGGCAAGGGGACCTTCTCCCCCCTGTGCTTATACAGCTGGCTGCTTAGCCCCACTGTGATCCCTGAGCACTGGTCTCAGCTCACCTGGATTTGGGCTCAGGAAGGTGGAGTGCCCGTGACCAGCCCTCGTCATCCACCCCGGCATGGGTGGAGAGCAGCGTGCACCAAGAAACGGGCTGCTCCCAAGCAAAGCCAGAGGCTGAACCAAAAATAAAGCAGCCCCAGCCCTGTGTTATGCCCTCACACTTGCCCCTGCTGTCAATCAGGTGTCCTCTGCAGAGCCTGTTTCCGCACCTGGAGAATGGGGAGAGGACAAGGTGGACGGTGAGATGGTGCTCATGAAGGGCCAGCTCCATGCTAGGACTCTGAGGAAGCCCCATTGCTCTCCAATCCAGGGGTCTCCACCCGTTGGGGGATCGTTCCTGGGGCCTTTGCACCGGTTCAGGGCTGTTCGCCCGGGCATGTTTTATAGAAGCAAGGCAGCAGACAGAGCACCACGATCTATTTGCCTCATCTATTCATGCAGCTGGCTCAGCCTCGGACCCACGCTGCTCCTAGCACAAAGGTCCGGCCTCTCCACACTCCTGGCATACAGACGAACCAACATCGCGGTGCCAAGTGTACCGTGGCGTCCTTGGTGCTACACACATCCGTAGCAAATGACTGAGTGAATCGTTCTGAATAAGTGACAGCACAAGCTGTCTTAGAAAGCAGCAAGAAGTCCCGCAGCAGGCAGCCTTTGCCTGAAGCACCCACTCGTGGGGGTTGTTTCTGCTGGGCGAGGGTCAGGCAGGCTGCTCTTCCAGGGCAGATGGGAAGGCAAGGCTGGAGAGGCTCTGGAGGGCAGTGGGGAGGAACTCAGCAAGGAAGTTTGACCTGAACTTTACATCATGGCTCATTTCTTTGTTAACAAGCAGTTAGCCTGGGGAAGGGCACGTCTGACTGCTCAGTCCTCTCTCGCTGGTCAGAAAGGCCCTTGCTCACACTTACTGACACGGCAATTGCATTTAATGGCTGCCCAGGGGGGTCAGGTCAGTCCTCCAGAGGATGTAAAGGATGCCTGAACAACTCTGGTTCAGCCCCACGATGCCGACTTCTGCATTGCAGGCAGGACCCCCGTATTGCCCCCCAGGAGGGACCATATGAGCTGCTCAGGGCAGGGCCCAGCCCGCAGAAGGCACCCACAGGCTGCAGCACATCCCAAGCTCCACAAATGCTACCATGTGCCATTGTAAAACCCACCCATCCTGGAGACCTTCCTCCATGGCTTTCTACATGCGAAGTCACAGCAGAAAGAGCTTGGTGGGTTCACCCCATCCATGCCCTGTCTGTAGCATGCACCAAGGGCTGGGAGAGCAAGTTGGGAGCAGAGACGGGTGGTATTCCCAGAGATACAGCTAGGGGTAAACACTGAAGGGGTGGAGGAAATGCAGAGAAGCTGGCACCGGGCCAAAGTGGTCTTGTTAGCCCTGAAGCTGGTTTCCAAAACTGCTTGTAAGGAGACAGGCAGGAGGTGAGTCCGAGTCCAGCCGACAAAGGCTGCAGCTAGAAACGCTTGAGGACTGTGTTGAGGCCTGGCTCAGGCCAGAGGGAGCTCCTGGTTTGGTCATCTTATATGAACATTTCCCCCGTGAACCCAGAGCCTACAAGGATTGTTGAGACAGCAACACTTAAATGCTCTTCTTCCATTTGAAAGCCTAACCTGTGAAGGGGTGTTTTGTACCAAGCCCATCCTTTCTATGCGATCCAGCAGTGATGTCCCCAAACGCTACTTCCTGGCTCGCACTCCAGTGAGAGACTAAAATAATCTGGTAATGAATTCTGCTGCTTCTCAC